TATATAAAGCGTCGTTCTCCTTGGAATTTCCTCACTTGCAAATCTTCAATTCAAAAACCTGCCCGGCTGCTTCTACTATTTCCGAGTCCTCCGAGTCTTCTAATCGTCTCCAAGTAAGTTTCTTTCATTCCTTCTCTGAGTCATGTCAGACCGTGAGGATAGTCAGAACCCCTCCGTTCATTCTTATGGTTCTGGCGGCCGGTCTCCCACCTTTGGTTCCTCCTCTTCTTCTTCATCTTCCGACTTTGAGCACCCGGCTACTTCTCCACAGAAGAAGCCGGTTGATGCTTCCACTTGCGCTCCCTCTTCTTCCGCGGCGCAAGTGGTCTCGGTTGCCCAGTCCGGGGACGAGGGCTTCATTCAGCTAGACGATCGGTTGCTCCAAGAGCAACCGTCGTACATGCAGAAACCCCAAGTCCACGAACTGCGTAATCTGATGCCCAATGGGTATCAATTGACCTACCGGGCAACGTGGATGAGCATTATACCTCTCCATGCCGGCACGTCGATTGGGATCCATTACCATTCGATCAAGGACTTAGGTGAGTTCTCTATTCACCCATTCAAAGTCCTTTTCCTTGAGACCTACGGGATCATGCCCGGGCAGCTGGCCTCTAATGGTCACCGTTTGTTAGGAAGCTTTATCAACGTCTGCCGGTTTCTTCGTATTCCTCTTTCTCTTCGCCTCTTTGATTATATGTTCGATGTTCGGCCCGGGTCCAAGGAAACCCTTGGATTCGTGGTGGTGTCTTCCCACCAAGGTCGAGCATTGCTTTATGGTCTTCCACCCTCCAACAAGAAGTGGAAAGACAAATATGTCTGTGTCAAATTTCCCCCGGGTGCCTTTCCTTTTGCCCAAAACGTCTGGGGGAAAAGAATGAAGCGCCAGGTCAAACCAGCGGAGGCCGATGACCTGGTTGCTTGGGAAGCCACTCTCCGGGCCGGGGATGCCTCCACCCGCGGTCTGTACCATGTTGGGAAGTGAAGCGTCTACCCCGGCCGGGAGACCGACCCCGAACCGGAGATTGTTCTGCCCGGGGTGATCCCCGAAGCCATCCCCATTCGTCAGGCGAGGGGATCCAAAGCCCCGACCACTACCAATGCCGGTCCTTCATGCCCGGCGAAGAAGAAGAAGGAGGAAGGTCAATCAACTGCCCTTCTCATTTTTCATTTGAATTAATTTGTTCTCAACTGCATTCTTCTAACCGGTTCCTTTTTTTGTTTCAGTGGTGAAGTTTCAATCCAAGTTTGCCGTCCCCCAAATCGTGGTTGAGGAGCCCTCCTCCGCTCAGCCACTCACTCCTCCATCCAGCCAACCACTCTTGATGGATGATCTTCCGGCCCAGTCTCACCAAGGGACCAGCCAGCCGATTCACTCGGGGGAGATCTACTTCAACGTAGACACCTTCGAGTTCGACAATATGATGGGTGAGACTGGGCATACGTCCCAGGCGGGGGTGGGAGACCGGCCCAATGAGGAAAGGGACGCCAAGGAGGAGACTTCTGGGGGGTCCCTTCAACGGAAGAAGCGGAAGACTGATGAAGTCAACCAGCCTTCCCATCAGGGGGCCCAGTCCTCCGACGCCGGCAAGGGGCCGATAGTGCCTCGCTCTCTGGCTTTAATGTCCAGGTCAAACGAGGAGCTCTTCCGAGCATTCCGTGCTGATCTGAATGAGGTAACCCCTTTTCCTCTCCTACCGCCTACTTACCGTTTTTATACTTTTCTGAGTAATTTTCGATGTCTTTGAAGCAGGTCGGCCGGATCGGGGAGGAGTACTTCGCCCGGCTGGTGAAGTCGATGGATGAGGAGAAGGCCCGGATGGAGGCCATGATGGTCGAATGCCGGAAGGAAGCCCAGGCTGCCCGGGCCAAGGCACAGAAGATAGAGGCCAAATGGACAGAGCACTGTGCGGTTTACCGCCAGCTCTATGCCAAGCACGATGGTCTCCTCAAGGCTGCGAAAGAGGCCGATGAGCAGGCCCAGGCCAAGATCAATCAGCTGGAGGCCGAAAATGCCCGGTCAGCCGAGGAAATCGCTCGGCTGGAAGATGAGCTGCAGAAAGAGCAATCGGAGCGTGCCGCCCTTGCTGCTGCCTGGGCCACTCAAACGCCTGAGGAGTTTGCTGCTAAGGCGTTGCCTGACCGGGAGACTGCCATCCGCTTCTTCCAAGGCTTGTACAAGTACGAGGTCTCGGCCGGGATCGTCGACGAAATCGGAACGTACGGCTTTGAAAGCGGCCAGTACTCGGAGCGGAAGGCCCTCTATGGCATCCTTCAGCAGAGGATCCAAAGTTTTCAGCCAAAGGCTCTTTCTCTGCCCGAGCTGCACTCCGAGGCGCCTGAACCTCCCTTCCCGGGCATCTGA